AGACCCTTCATCAGAAAAGCTTTTCTGATGAAGGGTCTAGGCCCGAAACGTCAGCCTCTCTGCTCCTATGATGCTGCTTGGCCTGCTGTGTTCATCCAGCCCTGCACCTTGTTGTCTCGGATTCTCCAGCATCTGCAGTTCCTACTACCACTGGACTGGAGGAAGCTACTTTTGTTTTATGTGGTTGACGCCAGATTTCACAATTTGGTACGTACCGTCCTTACTTAACTTTCTGTACAAAACATCCTCTTTAAAATGACTGGCATAGTTTCAGTTCCCTGTTTCATCTATTCCGGATACTCACCAGTTTAGTTTTAACTGGTCTCTTCTTAACTCAGTCATAAAGTCATAGAGTCAAAGAGATGGACAGCATGGAAACAGACACTTCAGTCCAACTTGTCCATGCTGACCAGATATCCTATACTAATCTAGTCCCATTTGCCAGATTTGGCCCATATCCCGCTAAACCCTTCCTATTCATATACCCATCCAGATACCTTTTAAATGTTGTAATTGTACCAGCCTCCACTATTCTTCTGGCAGCTCATTCGATGCACACACCACCCTCTGCATAAAAAAGTTGCCCCTTAGGCCCCTTCTAAATCTTTCCCCTCTCACCTTAAACCTATGCCCTCTAGTTTTGGACTCCCCTACCCTGGGAAAAGACCTTGACTATTCACCCTATCCATGTCCCTCATGATTTTATAAACCTCTGTAAGGTCACCCCTTAGCCTCTGACACGCCAGGGAAAATAGCCCCAGCCTATCCAGCCTCTCCCAATAGCTCAAACTCTCCAACCCTGGCAACATCCTTGTAAATCTTTACTGAAGTTTAACAACATCTTTCCTATAGCAAGGAGAGCAGAACTTAACACAGTATTCCAAAAGTGGCCTAACCAAAGTCCTGTACAGTTGCAACATGACCTCCCAACTCCTATACTCAATGCTCTGACCAATGAAGGCAAGCGCACCAAATGCCTTATTCACTACCTTGTCTAACTGGAATTCCACTTTCAAGGAACTAAGAACCTGCACTCCAAGGTCCTTTTGTTTGGCAACACTCCCCAGGACCTTACCAATAAGGTATAAGTCCTGCCCTGACTTGCCCTACCAAAATGTAGCACCTCACATTTATCTAACTCAAACTCTATCTGCCACTCCTCGGTCCATTGACCCATCTGATGAAGATCCTGTTGTGCTCTAAGGTAACCTTCGCTGTCCACTCCACCACTGATTTTGGTGTCATGTGCAAATTTACTAACCATACCTCCTGCACTCACATCCAAATCATTTATACAGGTGGAAAAAGTCATGGGTCCAGCACTGAACCCTGCGGCACACTGTTTGTCACAGGCCTCCAGTTCGAAAAGCAATCCTCCACCACCGCCCTCTGTCTCCCACCGTCTAGCCAATTTTGTATCCAGATGGCTAGTTCTCCATGTTCAATGTGATGTATCCTTGTTAACCAGACTACCATGCGGAACCTTGTCAAACGTCTTACTGAAGTCCATATCGACAACGTACACTGCTCTGACTTCATCAATTTTCTTTGTCACTTCTTCAAAAAACTAAATCAAGTTCGTGAAACATGATTTCCCAGGCACAATGCCATGCTGACCATCCCTAATCACTCCTTACCTTTACAAATACATGTAAATCCTGTCCGTCAGAATCCCCTTCAACAATTTGCCCACCATTGATGTCAGGATCACTGGACTATAGTTTCCTGGTGTTTCCTTACCTCCTTTCTTAAAAAATGGCACCACGTTAGTCAACCTCCAGTCTTCTGGCACCTCACACATGGCTATTGATGATACAAATATCTCAGTGAGGGGCCCAGCAATCACTTCCTTAGCTTCCCACAAAGTTCTGGGGTACACCTGACCTGGTCCCGGGGATTATTCCACCGATATGCATTTTAAGACGTCCAGCACCTCCTCCTCTGTAACGTAGACACTTTTCAAGATGTCACAATTTATTTCACCAAGTTCTGTGGCTTCCACATCCTTCTCCACAGTTAAATACTGATGCAATATACTTGTTTAGTATCTCACTCATCTCGTACGGGGTTCCACACATAAGCAGCCTTGTTGGTCTTTAAAGGGCCATATTCTCTCCCTAGCCACTCTTTTGTCCTTAATGTATTTTTAGAAACTCTTTGGATTCTTCTTAACCCTTTTTGCCAAAACTATCTCATGTCACCTTTTAGCCCTCCTGATTTCCCCCTTAAGTATACCCCTACTTCCTTTATACTCCTCTGGGGATTGATTTGATCTCTGCTTTTTTTCCTGACATAAGCTTCCTTTCTTTTCTTGACTAGAACATCTATTTCTCTAGTCATTCAGCATTCCCTACACATTCCAGCCTTGTTCTTCACCCTAACAGGGACATACTGTCCCTGGTCTCTCATTATCTCATTTTTGAAAGCCTCCCACTTTTCAGCTGTCCTTTAACCTGTGAAATTTCGCTCCCAATCAACTTTTGAAAGTTCTTGCTAAATACCGTCAAAATTGGTCTTCCTCTAATTTAGAGCTCTGACTTTAAGATCAGGTCTATCCTTTTCCATGAGTATTTTAAAACAAATAGAATTATGATCACTTGCCCCAAAATGCTCCCCCAATGACACCTCAGTCACTTGCCCTGCCTTTTTTCCCCCCAAGAGTACATCATGTTTTGCTCCTTATCTAGTAGGTGCATCCACATATTGAACAAGAAAACTTTCTCGTATACACTTAACAAATTCCTTTAAGTCCGATTCTTTAACATCTGTCTTTTCTTCAATCAATTTGTCAACAAGTTTGAACACGGTAGAAATTCAAATAAGAATTCGTGCTGGTCTCTGGTGTGACAAAATTCAATTTTGATGTTTCTTTGTAGCTCAGGTTTTTGACGCTGGGTCTGGGGCAGGATTTCAATCTGGATATGGCAGCAGGAATGGCGATGGGCAGCTATGTGTATCACGAGCTATCATGTTGGCTTCCCAGCATCATCCTGTCCATGAGCTTTGGTTAGCTACACACAAGCAATGGCCCCATCAAAGCCATTTAATGTTGTTGAAATGCCAATTGAGACAAATTACCAGAGGCTGAATAGAATTTTGTCAGCCTGTGGGTCCCATGCACTTTTGGTCACACTTCAGCCCTATGCTCCTGATCTTTGGGCATCCGCTGCGGAGTGATCTGGGCAGGTCAGTGGACCTCCCTGTAGGTCTGAACCTGGGCTTGGCTAAGTTGGCTTTTCACAGGTATAGGCAGTGGGCCTTGGAGGGGGTCATATCTGTCAACTGTCTACCCCTCTTCCTGGGATAGTGGAGCTGAGTAATAGATGTTAATCAGCAGGCAATTTCCTTACCTTTGTGTGACCTGATGTCATGAAACATCACAGTGTCAGTGGGCCATTTCCCCCTGTTCTAGACCATTGGACTTTTGGCTAGTCAGTCCTGCCATTGGGACAAGCCACAGTCAGGGATGATGATGATGATGTCTGGTACAAGAGGTTGTAAAAGGTATGATTCAGTTTGTGTGACAAAGCTCCGAAATTGTACAGCAACCCCTAGGCTGACATGGTGGCTCAATGGTTAGCAGTGCTGCCTCACAGCACCAGGGACCTGGGTTCAACTCCACACTCAGGCAACTCTTTGTGTGGAGTTTGCATGCTCTCCCCTTGTCTGCTTGGGTTTCCTCTGGGTGCTCTGGTTTCCTCCCACAGTCCAAAGATATGCAGGTTCGGTGGATCGGCCATGCTAAAGTGCCCACAGTGTCAAGGAATGTGTGGGCCAGGTGGATTAGCCAGGGGAAATGCAGGGTTACAGGGATGGGATGTGTCTGGGGCAGGGTCCGCTCTGCGGAGGGTCAGTGTAGACTCAATGGGCTGAATAGCCTGCCCTATTACTAATTGGTTTGGGTGTCAATCAATTGAGCCTGGCTCTCCTCCTTTACTGAAATGAATGACGCATCATCATACTATCAATTTGAAATCCATTAGTGATTGAAAGATTAAATCCTTTCACAAGGATTTAATTAGATATTTCTACTTGCAGTTGGCTTAGTTTGTGAACAAATTGAATAAAGTAAGTTCTAAAGTAAAGGCAGTTGGAAATTCACATGGTGGATCACTAATCTCAGTGGCAAGAGAAACATTTCTGCAACAGATGAGGACAAAGTAGGAGTAAATCAACCTTGAAACTTTTCCACATGTCACGGCATGGCTCTCATGTGTGGCCAACCAGAAGAGGAATGAACAGTTAACCAAAAAATGGAATAAAGGACTCTGCCCCCTTTCAGATGAAATAAAGGTAAAAAAAAGTCACTATTAAATTGTATACTTATTTAATGAATTCTTCACTTTGTTGCAAAATATATACAATATAAATATGGGAAAATATTAAACAGTAACATGGTAATTCAAGAACAAGGAAACTGTTTAAAATATGTCAGATATAGGCTGCCATTGACATTTCCATGTGAAAGTTACATTGACCTTTACAGGTAAAATGCTTAATCCACATAAACCAACAGAATGGATATACATCATTGCATACAGAATGCTTTTAAAAAGGTCTGTTCCCTGAGCATGTGAGAATCAATTCATATTTGCATATGTGATTTCCTAAATAACTCTTCTTTATTACACAGGAGTACTTGAAGGTAAATCTGCCTTAGTCCATAGCTCAAAGTGCAAGATATGTATAAGCAACTGGTATCTTTTAGAACCAGTGGGTGAAATGTTTGGTATTAATGGAGTCGTAAAATTTGTTATAATTTATAGGCTGTCCAATACATGCTTGTGTGATTTACTTTTCAAATGACTTCAGTGGGCTGGACAAACAGACATATTATGAGCTGATTTACCTTCTACCAAAGCTGATTGTTATATTGGACAGAACCCTCACTCAGGAAAGGCAGCGGTAGTTTCTCAGCTTGCTGCTCAGAAATATAACAGCCACTGCAAATCGGATGTCTCGTTTGTGGAAGCAACATAAAATCAAATGTAATAAAGTTCAATAAATTTCCAACAGCAGTTTTATACCTGGGTGTCAAGTTGAACAATGACATTTTTTAAAAAAACTTTAAAATCATAGTCATACTCCTGATTATGATTTTAAAATATCTAACTTTCAACAATTGTGTCAGATGGTAAGGACTAACAGTATGCTTCGCCATTTACAATCCCACATTGAAACCTGAAGTCTATTTAAGACTTTGAGACATTATCAAGGACAAGTTAATGGTTACAACTGTAATTCCTGTCAACCTTTATCAACACTTTTACTGGATTTGTACTTTTAAGATTCTGTGTCAAGTTGTGAGCAATGTTCAGCTAATTAAAACAAACCTCTCTAGAAATAGCAAGGTTTGCTGAGGTAAACAGGACAACTATTAACAGTCTGTGAAAGTGGGATTCTACTCCCTCCTCCAGAATTAATACATGTCTGAACTTCTGAGCAGGCATTTTTCACACATATTGACATCAAAAGCATTAATATTAGTATTATGTAAACATGCTTTCTTAAATTCAGCCATTATTAAATCAACTAAAAACTTACACATTTATGGAGATTCATAACCATCTATTTAATAGCATGGCAGTATTTGCTTGACACAGGCTACAGCAGTTTGCAGAAGATAAAAGTGAGCAACTATCGATCGAAGTTACACTCAGAAATCTGCCAACAAAATACTTCAAAAATGTCATTTGTTCATGAAATGAATCAGGTCCTATTGAGATGAGTAGTGAATCTGCATTACCCAAAGCTATTCTCTTTCAAAAGCACCAAAAAAAAATTACATTGATCTGGTTTAAATTTTGGGACTGGGATAGTTATGCAATTCTAACTTTTCCACTTGATATTCCCCATCAGTTAGCTTCTCAAATACCTTGTTTTGCCACTCTCAGCATGTCTTACTCTGGTTTTCAATTTTTTTTTATGTGAGAGATCAATTTGTCTGGTATGTACAAGGTAAAATCTTGATAGATGCACCTCTCCAAATAAGAGTGTTACTTAATTGCTTCAATAACCTAAAGTTCATTTTTGGAAGGATCAAACTGCAATATGTGCCATTTAATGTGATGTTCTTGTAACAAGAAACTTGATTCTTGGCTGTTTCAACAAACTTCAAAGTCTTTTAGGTCTCTGTGTTCAAGATATAACTGTAAAAATCTCCACACCAAGCAGGTGCATGGAAATGATCTTGTTTGTGTGTGATGAGCAAAGATGGTCACAAATTATTCTTTCAAACCAGCAATCAAAAAACTATCATCCTTTTATGCTTTATAATGTTATCCTAACCTAGTGTTTTGAAGTCATGTTCATTCATAAGCTTATAGGAGGAATGCTGTTAAATAATCTTAATTTAATAAGTGAATCCCTGATGCCATTATCAATGCTATTGCCTGGAACAGTGATAATATGTTGAAGCAGAAATAAGGTTATTAGATACTTAAATCATTCATCTAAAGTGCATTAACAATCATATTATGTCAATCACATGTATGTGAATTAATCTTGTTATTTTAGTCTTTACCACTCATCTTCACACTGCATTATTCACCAGAAATATATGGAAGAGATGGTTAAAGTCAACGGTAATATTTTTAAGCCTATTTTCAAAAATTAATATTGGTAATGTAAACTTTTGTTTTGCTCTTTTTTGGTATCTTCTTTCTGCTTTCAACTCCTGACAGAAACAAATTACAATAAATTAACTTGCATTCATTGCCTGAAATGTTTCTTTTTCTCTTCTGACCTCCAAGTTAACTTTCCAGACATCTGTGTGTTGTTTATCTTCCGAGCAGAAGAATGGAACAATGCTGTCTATGGATACCTAGCTTGTGCTCCAACAAATCACTCTTTGTGCACCAGAGACCCAGATCATGCAAAATCTATACTCCTTCCCTCTAAGACCTGGATTAAGTTTGTCCAAGTCACTTGAAGAGAATCCAGCCACAAACAAAAGAACTCTAACTAGCTATCTGAGGAAGCTTAAATTTAAATGTTGGCAATGGTTGCTATTTGATGTGATGGATCATTGATAAAAGTTTCAATGTTGTTGTGCTATCACTTAGAGGTCATCTTTGAGCAAAGAGGCACTGAGATATGGCAGAGGCATATTACGTTGCGGAGAGGTCTGGAGCAGAAGCATGAATGCAGTCCAGTGACTTGCCATTCGGTAAGTGGTTTATATGAATGAGTTTGTGGGGATGATAGTCAGTCTTACCTTTAGCAAGTACTGATTTTCTTCTCCCACAATGCAACATACAAAACCGGAAACACCTTTTAGAGATTAAGTAGATAATTTCAGATATACTTATTACAATGCAAAGAGATGATGCCCCAACCATAAAATAAGTGAAAATTCTTTTCTCAGTTGGTCTAGCAATGTAACAATCTACTACATTGGGGCAAGGTTCTTCCTCACATTTGACGAGACGAGGCATATCAAAACTGTCATAAATCCGGTGAAGGATGTACAGGAAAGCAATTTCAAACACCGTTTTAAAAAGCAGACTGATCAAATAGGTCCACCATAGACCGCCATGTTTTTTCCCAGTGTCTTCATACAGTTTGGTGTTAGTATCTGGGTGCCTCATGTGGTATTTTTTTTCTTTTTCTTTCCTATAGGCCACATGCATGACAACTAATAGGGAAGGTGTAGAGATGAAAATCAATTGCAAAGCCCACAGCCTGATGTGGGAGATGGGGAAGTAATGATCAAAACACACATTGGTGCACCCAGGTTGCCTGGTGTTACAGTCAAAATCCTTCTGGTCATCGCCCCATACTTTTTCTGCTGCCACCACATAAACGAGCACCCGGAAGATGAAGACCACCGATAGCCAAATCCGTCCAAATCCTGTAGAATATTTGTTTACACCACTAAGGACACCTTGTAATGTCTTCCAATCCATTGTGGCTGGAGTTATCAACCTTCAATACACAACAAATAAAGAGACTACTTAATAATTCATCCCTATACACAATAAAACAATATAATTTCATGCAATGTTCTGGATATTTATCTTCTGTATAGAATAGTATGACCTGAAGTAGAACCTGATCTGGAAAAACAGCTTGCAAATGTCTATTCTCATGACCAGATCTCTGCTGAAATCTACTTCCCAGTGCATATTATTTCCTTTTTTAGATAGCATTTTACATATAATAAAAATTAGAAAGCAATAGTGTCTGCTATGAAAAGACAATGCTTCTTTCCAATGCTGCTTATAGTTTGTTTGGGGTTCCAGGCAAAGACAATGTCATTTTGGAAGCCTCAATGAAGTGTGTGAATCCTTGGATGTTAATGGATCCCCCAATACTACTTTAATCTGCTTTAACAGGGTACTAGGTTCACCCATTATTCTCAGGTGGAAACAGTCAGTTCACTGGTATCTGATCGAAGAGGTGAAAGAGCATTGAATGGAGTCTTCTCTGGGCAGAATGTTTGCTTTTCGTGTTTGTCTGTGCGCCTGTCTTCATAGGGCAGCATGTGACTTATCCTTCCTACAGAGTCTGTAGGTCAGACAGGAAAACTTGAACCTCAGTGGGGAGATGGTCTTCAGCTGAACTGGAAATTTCCTGAAAGCTGCAGCAAAAACAGGAGACCACTGCTACTGCATTCCACATGGCAGTAACCATGACTGCAGCCTTCCCTACCTCTATACGCATCAGAATCATGCAGCTGGAGACATCCGCAATCCTAACTTACAATCATGTATAAAACAAGTTCCAGCTGATTAATTAATCTTTCTGTCCCTGATCCTCAGAAGCAAACAGGAAAGGTCAATTGATTTTCTCATGGTTACAGGAATCTTACAAGGGTAGGAATGTGTCTCCTTTGTCCCACAGTAAATTATAGGTTAAATATCCTTAAAAGTTAATCATTACAGCAACTTTTATTTATCTTGCTTCTTTAACGTGGTAAAAAAAAGTTCCAGGGTATTTATCAGACAACATCTGATATTGTGCCATCTCTTAATTCATGTTTTAGGAATAGTAATCAAAGGCTCAGTCAAAGAGACAGATTTCAAGGAGCTTCATAAAGGAGTGTGTTACTGGAACGCAGATAGTTAGGTCATGAATTCCAGAGCTATAACCCTTGGCAACTGAAAGTGAGGCCACCAAAAGGATGTCGAGAATAAGATTTTTTTAAAAATTCTTAGTCCCCTGCAGTAGTCATTGTTTAAGAATATGTGCTTCCTTGCATTATATGGCAAATTGCAGTAATCATTCTATTTCTTATTTCAATGAATATTTATTTCTTTGTAGGGCAAAGAAACCAGACAGTAACATTGTTGAGATAACAAGGTGTAGAGCTGGATGAACACAGCAGGCCAAGCAGCATCAGAGGAGCAGGAAGGCTGACGTTTTGGGCCTAGACCCTTCTTCAGAAAATGTCT